TTTAAATAAAATTTGATATTTAACGTTTGTTATTTTGAAAGCCAATCGTTAGCTTAATAATTGCGATTGTTTCATAATAATGAACAGGCTATTAATTTGATATGCACCATGGAAATATCCGCACAATCCGACGGGGGGGGTGGTTTAGCCCGCGAAATACGGTATATTTTATGCGCGCCTGCATGCATATTTTCGTTTTCTCAAATTAATTAAATTTACGTAACGGGTAAGGGATGTTTTTTAATCTTACAGGCATCTACTTATTATACGTACGTACGTACAATATGAACTCTCTAACTATGCTGCAATGGAACCAACATGCATTTATGACTGCATTTAGATCTTGCACACATTTTTAATATTTACATGCGTGCGCTGCATGCATTAAATTTACGTAATGGGTAAGGAGATTTTTTTAAACTTACAGGCATCCCCCTAAATACACTGCAATGGGACCAACGTGCATATGGTTGCAAAAGTTAACCGAATGAAATAAATTCGACATTACTAGTTTACTTTTTTTTTTTTCTAACAAACTTTTATTAATATTTACAAATTCCAGAAAGTGTAAATATAAGGCGAGAAGATCAATGATCAATGTTAATTTTTAAAAGACATGAAAAATTTACATATGATCTCCTCGAAATAACATCGATATTCACAGTGCAAAAATAATAAAAATAATCAAAAACTTCACTTAAAAGCGAATATTTATACTATTTATTGCTAGTACTAGTCATAACCATATGTAAGTTCTAAATACTGGAAACGGTCAACAAAAAAGAGGATTGAGACTTTACGTTGGGGTATTCGATGTACTATGTAAATCAATTAAAAGTTGACAATGTGGCGGTTTCGCCGCCAAAGCCTAGCATTAGGAAACGTAATTAATATTATGGATTTATTTTACGATATTTAATTAATACGAGGTTGTAATGAGTTGTAATTTTTGATGTGATAGGTATTAGTTGTTAATTATAAAAGATTAAAAAAATTTCCTTACCCGTTACGTAAATTTAATTACTTTGAGGAAACGAAAATATGCATGCAGGCGTCGCATGTAAAATATAATAAATAATTTTTCAAATTAATTTTACGAGTTTATTAATCTTTAAAATGTGTACGTACATAATTATCAATATTTTATATACATTAGGTGCTTATAGACTTAAACAATTTCTATTGTTATGTAAATTTGACTAATTTGAAGAATGTGCATACGGGGAATGTATATGCTGTAATACTTTTCTCAATTCATTTTTACACAACATTTATTAATCTGAGGAAACGAAATATTGTACGTACGCTCTTTAAAAATGTGTACATACGTACCAGTGTCTAAAAGGTGCTAGGTTTCTTTGAATTGTGATCATTATAAATATCGTTCATTTTTCCATTTAACCCAAAAAATTTTGACGTGCAAAGTTATATCTAAGGTGTGTATAATTTTTTGGTTACTAATATCAGTTTTATATTGATCTCATTTTTTTTCAATATATATATATTTTTTTTAGATGAAATTCACTTATTTACTGCGATTATTCGTTTTCGGATTTTTTTCGGATGCCGTTTTAACATCTCCCTTAGTCGCTAGACAAGGACTCCCCGGATGTCCTTCAGAAACAGATTTACAGTGTAACTTCGTTCAAGAGACCCAAGCGGATGTTTCTCTCCCTCCATGTGATAGTTTGGCTATTTGTTATTATGATACAATACATGACAAGGCTTTCTGTAAACACGTTGATGATCAGTGCGTTCTTGGCGAATCCATCCGTCTTAAATCATTTTGTACAATTCCTAACGATGGAAGTCGATGTGGATTTACCTGCAGTGACTGCTTTTGGGCCCCCGACAAATCTTGGACCTGTCATGACTGTATTAATGGGATAAAAAGTCCTTAATCTATTTTATAATATATAATCCATTTTATTATACATAATCTAGTTTATAATACATAATCTATTTGCTTTTTTAATAGCAATTAACCATTATAAACACAATACACAATGTCTCCCCATTATGTAAATCATGATTTATTAGTGATATTTCTTGTGATGCACATAATCAAAATAAATGATATGGTATTTCAAGCGATATTTGTCCGCAGAATCATGAATTTAATTGATCCGCATGACTTATTCATCACGGATCGTTTATTTTTCACGTATCATTTCACCACATATCATTTCATTACGGCTTATTTTTCACATAACAGTCAGTCGAGATGTCACGCAGATCATGGTGTAAAATTTTTAATAGTAGGTCAAATGATCGACGCACCCAAATTTTATAAGTAAAATTTTGCTTAAATTTGCTTT